ATAATAGTTACCTTTTACTTTCAAGTGTTTTAACCTAAAACTGAAGATTGAAACCCTTAGTTTTCCTTCCGTGTTTTTGCTATTGAAATGGCTGTGTGTGCCTGACTTACCTTGTTTGTAAAGCATTCTGCTACATGGACAGTGTATACAGTAAAGAGACTGGCTTTTCTACATGCTGCATGAAATCAGTCTTACTGTTTTGCAGTCAAACTTTATGTATTTGACCACTTATCAAGCAGAGTTGAATCTCTGCCAAGGATAAGGACACCCAGTATTTGAAGAAGGCTCTGCTGCTTCAGTGAAGACAGTGGGAGCATGAACAGGGCCCTGGAGTCTGTGCTCACCTAAAGTCTTTTGACCTTTGTTTAAATGCACTTGAGAGGATCTTTGGATGTAGTGCGCTGTGTGCAGACACAGTGATGTTGCAGACCATCTGATCTCACAGGCTCACTGCTCTCTCTGCAGTAGAAAAGTTCAGGAGATTTTATGTCAGGTGCCCTTCCTGATTGAGCAGGGTTCCTTGGTTGATGCAGTGGGAGTTCAAAGGCTGAAAAGGTCAGAGAAAAGGAAACACTATCTATGGCTTGCTCTGCTCAGTTGCCCTTTACCCCAGAGGCATAGGTTATTTCAATTTCTCAGCAGGTGAGCGGAAGCAGATGTTCATTTGGCTGATAGAGAGCTAAGACTCGCATTCAGGTTAACGTGACTGTAATACTTACTCTTTTCCCATTGCGTGCCATTTTTTTTTTCTTGCTATTGTTTATTTAAAAAAAAACAAAGGAAATGGGAAAAAAAAAACCATGGATCCTTTCCTTAAAGAAACAAGACGTCCCATCAGGGAACATTTTTCACACAGGAGAAAGGGAACCTTGACAGCCTGGGCTGGGGTTCTAACAAAGGAATTCGCAGTGGGGCGGAGATTTCGAATCTTTTGAGAGGCTGAAGGAGGGCTAAATCTGAGTCTCTGGCTGGGTTGACAAGGTAAGGCCATATCGAGAAGGTCTGCAGGGACAAAGTCTCAGGAGGAGGAGTGAAGCTGGCATGTGTGTCATAGAGTGAGGTAGGAGGAAGCTGGATTCCCACTGAGGGCACTGGGCAGGAAAGTTGGTGTTTCTACCAGAGTCAGATGATGGGAATATTGGATCCATACTGAGAAGTCTGCGTGTCTACTCAGTGTAGTTCGGTAAACTGAGTATCACCTGGATGCAATATGCTGCTGGGCATTTGTTGGGTCCCATGCCCAAAGATCCTCCTTATTTCCTGCTGGTTATAAAGCGTCTGCTGTGTGTCATTAGAGGGATGGGACTGGGCAAGGTCAGGTGCCCCTGAGCTAAGAAATGGCATCGGGAAGCCAAAGATGTTTTTTTCTCTGAGCATATTATTCATTTAAAAAACAGCATAAGTGAACTACCTAGCCAGATAAGAAATATTAAACACAAATTAAGTACATCTCTCACTACTTCAGTGTTACCAATAATTATTTCTCTTAATTATGTTTGCATCTTCCTTGAGGAGGGACCCCTGGCTTCTTGCCAGGAAGTGCTTACAAGTCCCCAGGGCTTGCCTGACCACACGCTTTCCGAATGAGCGGCCCTTGACACTTGGGCATTTAAAAACGCCTTCATGGTGCTTTCCAGTTTCTTGCATCTGTGCTTTGTTAGCAGTTCCCTTCCTCTCTACATTGACCTCTTTTCACCAGAGGTAACCACAATGAGTGTATTATTTTTTCAGTATTTTTATGTGGGGATCATGAATGTAATTTTACATTTGTTTTTAATATTTCAACATGCTAATTTTTTTTTTAATTCAACATGCTGTTTAGCCTTGGAAGCTCTTTAATAAAAAAAAATTCAGTCCTTTCATGATATTTCATGGTATGAATATCTTATCTGTCTCCCATACTTCAGGGATCAAATCATTATTTGACTGGTACAACCTGACTTTCAGTTGTGATTTCAGATAATGATACCTTGATCTGTGCTGCATTACTGGCGCCCTGTGGGAGGTTATGCTGATAAACCGGAGCTGTTTCCTTTTCCCACGAAGGAGAGCATTTGCGGGTAGATGATTCGGCAAATGGATTTCTTAGATTGACTCTCATTTTACAATTGCATATACTTTCACTTATTATTCACCATGTATTTAAGTTACTTTTAGTGATTATATTTTAACTATATATTTTACTTTTTAAAAAATAACATTTGTGCATAGCTTTTATTTTGAGTGTCCCTTATTGTGATTTGAAAATCTTAACACTGAATTAACATTTGTGAAAACTGAGTTATGTAAGCAATTCTTTTTCCTCCTTAAAGGAGGAATATAGTCAGAATCTTCCCAGAAGAAGATAGGTGGACGTCATTCTGAGATAGAGTTCCCTGTGAGGTTATGAGAATGATTCACATGGCGATGGGATTTATGCTGTCCCTCGCCACTTAGGCCACTTCCTCCTTGGCAGGGTAAAGCCCTTGGAAAGACATGCTTTTAATCTAAGATGAGCAAAGGGGAACATTCTGTGCAAAAGTGTCTCTCCCAAGAACTCCTCTTAGCTAAATGTAATTGTTACCAGACATTTGTGATCTAGCAAGAACTGACTTCATTGCTGAAAATGTGGTAAAAGAATAGGACAAAGGTGCTTGATTGGTTCTCCATGGCGATCTGTGTACTTGTGTCAGGGATTCAGGCACAAGTGGGTTAATCCAACACTGTTGATGGACTTCACTTGAATTTAGTATCTGAACTCCTTGACAGTGATCAGTGTCCCATTAGGACATAGGATCTGAACATGGTGAAGACACTAACAGATTCCCTATGTAAACCAGTTTTTAAATTTTTATTTTTAGCAGTAATGTTTGCAGTGTGTAATGGTTACAGTTGTGGTGGGGAGCTGGTACAGGTACATGACACATCTCAGTTTTTTCTTCATCTCCTTCTTAGGTTTTTTTTTAAAGGTCTACTTTTCTTCTATAGGAGACGCTTTATCATGGGGAGCAGTTCTCTAGCTTCATCCAGAGGAAGGCATTAGATCTGATACTCAAAGTTTCTAGGATTCCCAGTGTCCTTGTGTAGTTTGGAAGCAAAGTCCTGAGATGATAGGGCTTATGAAATCTGTTTTTGTAGTTTATGCTCTGATAGTGAACATTGCAAAGTAAATATAGGATGCAGCAGACCACAGGTATGCAGAGTCACCTGTTGAGCCCAACTGGCTCTCAGGCCAGAAAGACTTGCTGGCAGCCTGTGGGACTGTGAACTGTGGCAGGGTTCCAGGCCAGCAGGCGTAGTCTTGCCAAAGTGTAGGAGGTGCAAAATCATGGAGCAAACATTGGCAGAATTGGCCTCCCCGATGGCAATTTTTCACAGTGTAATAATAAGTGACATTGTGGAGTCCAACTTGGTCCTGTGTGTATTGTAGTTATCTTCTGATGCCTCCCAGATCTGGCATAGAAGCAGAACAACAGAAGTCTGTTGCCTCTGGTGTTACATGGAACGGGGTTATAAATACTTGATGTCTCCTAATACAGATGTGTTCTTTGCTTATTTATTTACTTATTTATTTTGAGACAGCACCTATGTAGTTCAAGTTGTCCTACCAAGGTTATGAGTTCAACTCCCCAGGTTCAACTCCCCAGTACCAAAAAAAAATCTAATTCAGAATCCCCCCATATTTACGTGATATAAAATTACTATGGTAATGGTTCCTGACGAGATCCTTGCTATTTCCTATGAGGATCGTTAAAAAGAAGAAAGAATAGTAGCCGAATAAGAAATAAAAGGAACATGAAAGTGTGTGAGGTAACAGTGGAGGTCTATGAGATGCTGCATTTGCTCAGGTTTTTCCCTTCCTGTTTGATTCAGTTCTCCAGCCGGTTCATTCCATTGCAGCCAGCTTTTGTTTTTCTTGGGCTGGAAATTTACGTTGAGAAAATGGTGGAAAATTATTTAAGAGGAACATTGAAATAAGGTGGCAGTTTAGGACAGTGGTGGCAAACCTTTGGCACATGCACCACAGCAGGCACACAGAGCCCACTCTGTTGGCACTGGAGCCAAGTCGCTCCAGCATCGTCCAGCAGCCGAGCATCTGGTGGCAGGGCTCATCGGGCCACGTGCATGCGCAGAAAGGAGCAGGTGATGTGAAGAGCCAAGATTCCTCTAAGCTTTCTCATGGCCAGTCAGTGTTCAGTTTAATTGCAGTGTTGGCACCTTGCAATAAATAAGTGGGTTTTGGGTTGCAGCCTGGAACTTGCTGTCTAAAAGGTTTGCCATCACTGGTCTAGGAGATGAGTTGTTGGCTGATTGCTCTGGAGTATTCCCCGAAAAGGGGTAGTCCAAACTTAAAACCTTTTGTCTCAATTTTGGCTTTAAGAATCATGGATTTAAAAAAGTCATGGATAATCTGTATTCTTATCCATAATTGTGTATGAGTGTGTATATAAGCACTTTCTGGTGGGGATTTAGCTCAGTGGCATAAGTGCCTGCCTTGCAAGTGTGCAATCATGAGTTCAATTCCTGGTACCACAAAAAAAAAAAAAGCACTTTCTGTCCTTCCCTATCTTGTACTTGCTTTTGGAAACAGCAAATAAAAAATGGTAAAAGATTTCTGGTTCTAAGCCAGTTGTTGTGTCACATGCGTGTAATCCCATCATGTAGGAGGCTGAGGCAAGAGAATTGCTCTGAGATATAGGCCAGCCTGAACTCCATAGTGACATCCTGCCTCAAAAACAAAAGATTTCTAGTTCTGATGGGTCACACTGCTAAAAACAGAGTTGTAGGTTACCTATGTGAGAAATGAATAGGGCAGGAGATGAAATCACTTGCCAAGCACAATGTACTGTGAGTTTCTGTTTTTAATTTTAGTGTTCTCTACAGTTTTAATCCGTTCATAGCTGAGTCTTTGGCATGGATAAAATTTTAATAGGGGGCAATTTTAGCATGTGGCTCAGGAGGCTTCTTGACTTAATCAAGGTCAGGTACCATAAAGTTAACCAACTATGCTGTACTTGCAGGCGGGAACACTGGCAGCTGCTGGGCAATTTGAAGACCACTGTGGAGGGGTTGGTGTCCGTCAACAGCCCCAATGTCTGGTCCAAGTATGGTGGCCTGGAGCGGCTTTGCAGGGACATGCAGCGCATTCTCTACCACGGGCTCATCCATGACCAGGTATGTAGAACTCTTCTCTGCTCTTTGGTGGAATCCCTTGTTGGGAGGAAATAGTCATATCCAGACCGCTCTCCCCATCTGTGAGGAGCTCTTAGGGGGCAGCACTGAGACTTTACACAAATGTTGTTTTTTTGAGGTGGGTCTCATTGTACAGTTCAGGCTGACCTTGAACTCAAGTGATCCTCCTGCCTAGGCCCACGTACTGGGATTACAGGCACGTGACACTATGTGTGGTTCATCTTTTTATTTTAATCGAGAACATTTCATTTAGTGCCTGATATACCTTAGATGTCAGTCGATGACTAAATGCTGGGTAGAACAAAGAGTCAGCAGCTAGAAGTTTGTTTCCTGACCTAACAAATGACTACCACTTTAATGACTTTGAATAGCACAAATACATGGTAGTTCTTGAATGTCAGAATTCCAAAATGAGTTTCTCTAGGCCGAAAACAAGCTGTCTGCAAGGCTGCACCTCTGAAGGCGCTCAAACATTCTCTCTCTTTCTGGCCTTTCAGCTTCTGGAGTTGGCTTGTTGTTTTCTGTAGCTGTCAGCTCCTTCAGCCATCTTCCAAACCAGGAGCATTACATCGTTAACCCTCTCTCTGCTTCCAGGTCACCTTCCCTCCTGGGTCATTCCCTCTAGGAGGACCCAAGATGCTTAATTTAGTCATATTTGCAGAATCCCTTTGGCCATACACTGAACATGAAAGGTTACAGTCAAAAGTTCTAGACATTAAGATGTGGATATCTAGGAGAACCAGTTTTTTAGTCAAACAGTCAAAAAAATTTTTTTTCCTAAATATATTTGGTTTAAAAATCTTACCCCTCAAAAAAAAAGGTGTGTGTGTGTGGGTACAATAAATGGAGAAAAAGAACCAAGGCAGAAACTTTTCAGTGTGTCAATGTCTGACTTTCTTTTTGTTGTTGTTTTTTGGTCTTTTTGAAACAAGGTTTCACTCACCATGCAGTTTAGGCTGACCTTGAACTCATTTCTTAGGCTAAGCTCGCCTCAAATTTGCAGCAATCCTCCTAACTCAGCCTCCCAAGTGCTGGAATTACGGTGTGGACCAACTGTTTAAAGGTCCTATAATGGATATAAATTCTAAATTTTTAGAATTGTTTCTGACTTCTAAACATTATTTTTGCCTCTACCTAATTTTATATCTTTACAGTAACTACTGTTATTGAAAAGACTTCAGTACTACTTAGTGTTCATGAATATATCAATGTTTTCATCAGCATATATAATTACTATGTTAAACATGAAATTATAGTAAGTACAAGTACTAGAAATAGGTTTCAGGACAAAAATAACTGATTATTGGTAAGCCACAACTTTACTGGGGGCAGTGAAAGTACATGGTTATTCTAGGGAACAGTGTATACCAAATTTGAGTGCTTTTTTCCTAGTCAGAAGAATTGGAAAGCATCCATTCTTGGCCAATGTATGGCATTGTTCTTAATGTGTATGTACTATTCATGGATGTGTGTATCCTAATTTATTTAATCCATTCCCTTAGGACAAACGTTCAAATTTTTTACATATTTTTTAATCTTTTATAAAAATGCTAAGCTAGGCATGGTGGTGCACACCTGTAATCCCAGCACTAGGAAGGCTGAGGCAGGAGGATTGCTGAAAAGCTAACATTTCTGCTGTTTTTTCAATATTATATAGGCATTTTTTGTTAGTAATGGGCCTTTTCAAACCCAGGGTCTTATGTATGCTATATGTATGCTAGGAAAGTATTCTGACACTAACTATATCCCCAGCCCTATAGAGAAATTTAAAATGTGTATTTTTATCTGTCCCTCTGGAAAGGATTCTGTTTTTATCTCTTGTTCTGATGTGTGATCTCTAATGTTAGTATTTAATTTGTGTATGTTGCACCATCCTTGCTTTCCTGGAATAAATCCCACTTGAGCAGGGTGTGTAATCTTTTGGATGTACAGTTGGGTTCAGTGTGCTAGTATTTTGTTGAGAATTTTTGCATCTCTATTACTCAGGGATATTATCAGTAGTTTTTTCTTTTTTTTAATGTGTCCGTATCTGTTTTTTACACCCGGGTAATATTGACCTCTTAAAATGAGTTTAGAAGCATTTTTTCCCCTTCAATTTTTGGAGTCATTTGAGATGAATTGGTGTTATTTCTTTCTTTCTTTCTTTCTTTCTTTTTTTTTTTTTTTTTTTTTTGTCTTTTTTCCTTTTTATCGGTACCAGGGATTGAACTCACGACTGCCTCCTTGCAAGGCAGGCGCTTATGCCACTGAGCTAAATCCCCAGCCCAAATTGGTGTTATTTCTTTAAAGTTTTGGTAAAATTCAGCAGTGAAGCTATCTGGCCCTAGACTTTTCTTTGTTGGACACTTTTTATTCATTTATTGACTCAATATTGTTACTCATTGTTGTTTCTTTATTTTCACAGTTCAGTTTTCTAGGTTATGCATGTCCATAAATTTATCTGTTTTTGGTTTTCCAATTTGTTAGAATATAATTATTCATCACAGTCTCTATCATTACATATGTATTTTTTTGAGACAGGGGCCTTGCTGTAGTTCACGCTGGCCTTGAACTCACTGTGTAGCCCAGGCTAACTCCTGCCTCAGCCTCTAGTGCTGGGATTACAGGCATGCACCACTATACCCAGGTTCCTACCTTAATTTTGGGTGATGTTTGTATCATCTACTGAGTTCTGGTTTATTTTGAGGACTCTTTCTGGGATGTTTGTTTTATTCCTTTGATTGGTTGGTTTGTTGATACATGTGTTCTGCATTTTTAAGAATATTTAATTTCAGTTTTAACTCCTGCTTGATAATCTCAGGAAGGATTCTCAGAAAAACAATGGGTTTTCATGCCTTGCACATTTTATTTTCATGTTTCAGCCTCTTCCAGGGTAAGGCTATCATGGATCCAAGCATTTCCCTGACCCTAAATGGAGCCCTTTCTCTTTGCAGCATGGGTATCTTGAGAAAACCAAGTGTGTCTTACGCGGAAGACATTTGTCTCTGGTTTTTTATTAGTAAAAAGGGCAGAGCCGTCCCTGCCTCAACACAGGCTCTCAGCAGCAAACAACACACACATGTTTACCTTTTAAAAAATAAGGGTCCAAGATGTTGTCAAATATTTTGTGTGGAACTGGGGATGGAACCCAAGGCCTCTGCCACTGAGCTACACCCCTCATGCTCTGGTTACTTATTAGTAACTTTTCACCAATGTTAAGAATTACCTTTTGGGAAATTGAATGATGGAGAGAAAGGAGTAGAAAACAGATCATTCACTGTATACCTTCTGTAACACTTGTGTATACCAGAAAATGATTAACAACCAGGCACCATGACACAGGCATGTGATTGCAGCTACTTGGGAGGCTGAGGCAGGAAGAATGCAAATCCCCAGTCCACCCAGGCATTTAAGAAGACTCCGTCTCAAAATAAATATTTATAAAAGCATGAGGGGTGTAGCTCAGTGGCAGAGTACTTGGAAGGCCTTGGGTTCCATCCCCAGTTCCACACAAATATTTGACAACATCTTGGACCCTTATTTTTTAAAAGGTGAACATGTGTGTTGTTTGCTGCTGAGAGCCTGTGTTGAGGCAGGCACGGCTCTGCCCTTTTCCTGCCTTTGGATGTCCGCAGTCAGCTGGATCCGGCCCCGCGGCTCATAGGGCTTTCTCTTGCAGCTGTGTTGCCAGCAGGCCGATTACTGGCAATTTGTGAAGGACATACGCTGGCTCAGCCCGCACTCCGCCCTCCACGTGGAGAAGGTGAGGAGGGGTGGGGCTTTGGGAGAGAGGCCAGTTCTGTTGGAAGCCCCTCCCACCTGGGAGGGGTGCACCGTTTCAGGGGGGAAGCAAGGAAGGTAGCGAGGAAGGAAGGAAGGGCTCCCCGAGGGCTGACCTAGAGGGAAGGGTTATTAGCTTAACCATTATTGAGAATCCTGTAGAGCCATTGTTTCTGGTCCTTTCTCTTCTCTGGAGAACTGGGGACAGATCTGCGTGTCAGGCACCAGGATGGGGCTCTTGGAAATCCAGGACCTCATGGAAAGATCCTCTACAGCAGTAGGGAACTGGACCTTATGTGCTGGGAGCTGGTCAGAAAGAGGCACCAATGAGAAAGGAGCGTGAAGGTTTCGGAGGTGGAATCAGACAAGCCACTGTGGCCCTGACAACTTTGGCTGCCACAGAAGCTCCCCACCGTCCGGTTCCTCACTCAAGATGAGACCTCTGGTTTCTACCAGGACACTGAGCCCAGGAAGTTAGGTGACTTGGCCGAAGCTACACAGCTGGTTCTAGAACAATTACTACCAGTTTTATGTTGAGAGAGAGAGAGAGAAGAAGTGAACTCCAGTTATCTATCAGCACTCTTCAATTCTTTTTTCTTTTCTTTTCTTTTTTTTTTTTTTGAGGCAGTGTCTCACTATGTAGTTCAGGCTGACTTGAACTCATTATGTAGACTAGGCTGACCCCAAACTTACAGTGATTCTCTTGCCTCAGCCTCCCAAGTGCTGGGATTACAGGGGGCACCAGCACCCTCTTCATTCTATTGCTATATGGCTGGTCTTGTTTCACATATACCCCACTGCTAGATTCATCGCCAAGGTGACTTGTTTTGCCAGCAGTTGGGAGGCTGAGGCAGTAGGATCACTGGGAGCTCAAGACCAGTAGTGCAGACCCTGCCTCAAAAAATAAAACAAAAAAACAATAACCTTTTTCTAAATGATCAAGGTCCCAAAGCCCAACAATGCAGCCCATTGTTTTCCATGTCCTTATCACTTATTTTCTTCCCAGTAGGCCTCCCTCCAGCTTCCTGTCCTGTAATACCCTGCTGCAGTGGTTTCCTCTTTGAATCTGCCTGAAATCACCCTTCATACGTTTCATTGAGCTGTTCTGACCTCTGAGACCTTGTTCTTAGGATGCTCAAGGAGGGAGAGGTTCCCACAGAGGACGCTGTGCTTGGTGGCTTGGGTGGAGTCTTTGGTACATTTTTCCTAGATGCTTCCGCCCAGGTTTTTGTCGAATTCACTCCCGGAGGCTCCTGAAGTGGAGGACTCTGAGAAGAGCCAAGAGGCCAAGTTCGCCCTTCCTCTGAGCGTCCCAAAACAAGCACCTGTTTGGAGTTAGAGCATGAAAAACCAGATGTGGCAGTTTGTCTTTCCTGGAGTTTCATGTCAGGAGTCTCTTCTTTCATTCTCCAACTTCAGGATCCCTCACCTGCCTTTTTGAGACAGAGTCTTGCTGTGTAGGCCAGACTGGCGTCTAACCCAGCATCCTTCTGCCTCAGCCTTCTGAGGGCTGGGATTCCACATGTGCACCACCACACCCAGCAAGACAATACTCTGCCTGCTTCGGCTCGCTTCCCTGTCCTGTGGGCTCATAGGTCACTGGGTTTCTGTCTACATATTCTGACTGCAACTCTTTTCATCTAGTTCATCAACTTGCATGAGAACAACCAGAGCGAGGCAGCCAGTGTGAGTGAGCGAGCCGTGGCAGAGCTGTGGCTACAGCACAGCTTGCAGTGCCACTGCCTCTCAGCCCAGCTGCGGCCCCTGCTGGGGGACCGGCAGTACATCCGGAAATTCTACACAGGTGGGTCTCTATCCCCAGGCTGCATCTGCTTCCTGCCTCCGCTCCACAGCACTGCCCTCTGTGGGCGCCTCCAGCCCCAGCCTCAGGTTTATAACTGGACACCACGGAGATGCCCCTGGGAATTGCATTCTCAGTCCTCCCCTTCTTCCCCGCCTCCTTTCTGGACAGACACTCAGACTCCTGCTGTGGGCTCCCCTGCACTCAGGTGCACAGAGCAGCCTGGACCCTGACCATGGTCTCTTCTGTGCTGGTCACAGCAGCCCAGCCCCAGAGCAGGAAGTGGGCAGTGGGCCGTAGTCACCAGGGCCAGCATGCAATGTGGCTCTCTCCCCTTGGCCTCTGTGCTCCACTGTGTGCACTCAGCGTCTCTGTGTTTGTCCCCATTCTCCTCCTCCCACGGTAGCTGGCAGGGCTGCGCTTCTTTCTACCACCTTTGTCCTTGCTGTGGGCTCTTCTGTCCCAGGTCATATGGGAGGTCGGAGCCCTCACCACAGCCGCCTCTCTGTCCCCAGACGCTGCCTTCCTGCTCAGTGACGCGCACGTGAGGGCCATGCTGCAGTGTCTGGAAGCCGTGGAGCAGAACAACCCCCGCCTGCTGGCTCAGATCGATGTGTCCATGGTGAGGGCAGGAGGTAGCCTGTGTGCGCAGTGACTCTCAGCAGCCAGGGACTTATTCTGCAAGGCGGGTGCGCACTGAGACACTTTAAAAAATGCTTGATGAGAAGAGGAGGCAGCATTGTGTACTCACTGAATGCAAAGTCCAAGCCTGGGTCTGTTTGCTGGGGTCAGGGCTGGGGGTGTTTAAACTCTTGGAACCCTTGGGCTCAGTTAGCACCTCCCTTTACATGTGAGGATTGATGGGGAGCTGGCAGGAGGGGGATGCTCTGGCCATGTGTGGTGGTGCATGCTAGAGCAGAGGCAGAGTCCTTACTCCTTTTGGGGTGGAATGTACTCATCTCTCCTGGTGGTTTAATTTGCCATCAGTTGCCATCCACTGGATACTCCGCGTGCCAGGTATGGTTCTCTGTATAGAACGCACATCTTCCCAGTTCAGTCTCACAGCTCTGGGAGGTGGGCATTTGTTTCTTTTTAAAAAGGAAGCCACTGAGGCAGAGTAGGTGAGTTACTTGTCTAAGGTTGGGACCAGATAGCTTCTGGCTGACCAGGGATGGGTCAGAATGCTGTTATGTCTCACCTCTGACTCTGCAGTTTAAGTGTTTAGGTGTTTCTGGTGCTGTTACCACTCTACCCTCAGAAGGAGCCTACTGCAGAACCAGTACCTAATTTTCCTAATTGTAGCCCAGCAGAGGCTGGTGTGCTGTGGTCAGGTTTGGCTGTTGTCCATGCTGCTGTAAGGGCCGGCTTGGTCAGCAGTCCTACAGGGCTGACTCCCTTCCCAGATCTCCGTCCTCAAATCCTATGTGTTTTATTTAGTTTGCCAGAAAGCACGAGAGCCCACTGCTGGTAACGAAAAGCCAGAGCCTGACCGCTCTGCCCGGTTCCACACATGCCCCACTGACCGGCTGTGCTCAGCATTCCTACGTCGGGGCCTCCTCCGGCCTGCACCAGTCCATGCCCAGCTATAGCTCAGGTACGGGGACACAGAGGTGGCCGCTACATGGTCTCCAGGCCTGGAAAGGAAGGGACTGTGGGTCAGAGCTCAGCTCAGAGGCTGGTGCTCACGCTGTCACACTTCAGGTCACAACAGACCCCTTCAAAAGGTGTAGAGAAGCCTGGCTAGGTAAGTCAGGAGAACGTTAAAGTAGCAGGAAAATGTTTTTAGATTGACTTGGGTTGCTAGTCCATATTGCAAAGAAGGCATTGAAATAATAGCTGACCTTTATTGAACACCTTCAACATGCTGGATTCTGTGGTAATCAATGGGTAGGTACTGTCAAGCTGGGCATGGTGGTGCATGCCCATAACCCCACAAGTTTGAGGCCAGCATGTGCTAGTGAGTTTGACTACAAGGTCAGCCTGAACTAAATAGTGAGACCCTGTCTCAGAAAAAAAAAAAAACCCTAGATATATAGGTATAGATATCTATATGTACCTCATTTGATCCTGAAAACAGTCCTGTGAGATGTTATGGTTATTACTGCTTTTTGTACAGATGAGGAATGCATGCCAGCATATTAAAACCACTGTCTCAAGAGCCCATGCTCTTGACTTAGTTAGCTCTTTTTTTTTTTTTTGGTAGTAGGGATCGAACTCATGACCTCCTGATTGCCAAGCAGGCACTGTGGTGCTAAGCTAAATCCCTAGCAACTTAGCTCTTTCTAAGTAACTTTAAGTGATTTAGCTTTTCTGAGGTGACACCCTGTGTCCTGGGGGGTTGGTCCTTGATAGTGGAGAAGCTTTCATATAAACCACTGGCCTCCCACTTATCTTTCTTGCCCCTTCCCCTTCCTTCTTCCTACCCTAGAAAGAAGAACCACTTCTTTTACACTCTTTGGCCCTTCCCAGAGGCCCCAGGAACGCCAAGGACACTTGACCCCAGCAGAGGAGCAAACTGCCCAGGCCCCCCAGCTCTCAGACTCAGCACCAGCCTCGGAGTCTCCATCAACTCCACAAGAGATGAGCTCTGGGCCTCCAACTAGCCTGCTGGAGGCGTCCTGGGTCGGCAGCCAGAGTGATTCCCCAAGTGACGGCAGCGAGGGGCCTGAATACCTGGCCATCGGCAGCCTGGACCCCCGTGGCCGGCCTGACAGCTGTCAGAGCCCCAGCAGCAATGCTGGGAGCAGCAGCTCAAACCTGTTCTCCTCCAGCAGCTCCCAGAAGCCAGGTTCCGCTGCATCCTCTTTAGGGGACCAAGAGGGCGGCAGGCAGAGTCAGCTGTCCAGCGTCCTCCGCAGGTCCAGCTTCTCAGAGGGGCAGACGCTCCCTGTCACAGGTGGGACAAAGAAGAGCCACATCCGCTCCCACTCGGACACCAACATTGCCACCAGAGGAGCCCCAGGTCAGTAAGGGCCCCAGCATTGATGAGGAGAGGGTTTGTCCCCAAAGTGTTACAGATGACCAGGGTAGAATTCGGGTGTCTGATGAGGGACATTCTGCTTGATAGCGAGAGAGAGAGGCTCGCGGTGGACCACTCACACTCGGGGATCACTGCACATGTCTGTGTTTGTCTCTTTACATGGTGCTGAGTGCTAAGTGCTTCCCCAAAGTCCTTCATTTCATTAGCCTCAGAGGACAGCGGGACTCGTCACAGCCCAAGGTTTCAACCTGTCTCTCTGGGGCTGAAGGGAAGTGTTAAAGAGCTTTGTAAAGAATCCTGTTAAATTCCTCCCCTGCCTGTGATTCTTGGAGGTTTGATCAGGATGTAGTACCAGTACCAGTGCTATTAGGGCTCCCTGATTAAAATGGGGATACAATGAATGTGGGGCAATGGGACCCAGTAAACAAGCAGGTGGGGTTGACAGCTGCATCACTAATAGGCTGAGGCAGACAAGGAAGGAGGCCCTAGGATGGCAGGGAGCAACCTGGAGTAGTAGTGGGGGGTCTCTCTGCTTTGGGTCCCTGCTATCATCGTTTCTGGGTTGTTGGTATCTAGCAGGCTTTGGTTGGGTTTCATTCGTAGCAGCCTCCGTAACAGAGAGTACAGAACCATTCTGGATCGAGACCATCTCAGAAATGAAATATTAAATGAAATATTAATTTGAAATGAAATATTAAAATACAATATAAAAAATTTAATAAGACAAAAACAAAGAATTTCTTCTAGGAACAGAGCTGCAGCTGTCTCTCCTGTTCTAGAAAGATGAGAACTGCGGACTTCACTTGAAATCTTAGCATGATAAATTTGTAGTGCTGTTTCTCCTCAAGATTCTGATCTGACCTGGGGGAACTCGAGGAGAAAATGCCCCACCAAAGCCTGTCTTCCCGTGAGCTTTCTCAGGTGTGAGGATGCTCGGGCCAGATCTTCCCAGTACATGACCACGGGCCCGGTTCTGCTGCACTCCTGGTCGATGGCTTCCCCACCCCTGTCACTGAGTCCACATGGATGCCACATAACGCAGTGACTTGCATGGGAAGCAGAGCCCTGAGAAGCTGTCAGAAGAGTCTGAGGGCGTAGGGTCCTGCGTAGCTTTCTGTGTTGAGTCCTTTCTCCTCGCACCATGGGGTTTCCTCCATAGTTTGTCCCTCTCTGCGTGGTAAGAAGACATTTTTCCCTTTGTCTCCCTCTAACCTTTCTGCTCGGTCTGGATTTTCCTCTGCACCCGTCTGCCTGCAGGAGGCCCCAGGAATATCACCATTATAGTCGAAGATCCCATTGCAGGTTTGGGAGCCAGCCCTCCACCCCTTTTCCTCCGTGACCACCTTGCTCAGTTCCAAGCCTCCCTTTGTAGTCTGGTGTCAAATCAAGCCTGCCACTCTAGTCGTGCTGTGGTGCAGAGTCTGTCTGTAAAATAACACCAGTATTTCACATGAGCGTCTGCCCCTAGCTTCCAGGGGCCTCCTTTAGTACTTCCAGGATCCTCTGGGAGGCAGAGCAGGGCTTAAGAATTCACTTCTGCCAAAGGTTACAGGCCTGCTGTTTGTCTAAGGACATGTGATGGCTCGGTGGCAGAATATGTTGTATAACAGAACACTTGCTACAGATGACTTACTGTTCCTTGACTTAACACCAGAATGTGTTTTGTGCCCTCTCCATGGTCTTGGATACATCTGCATGGTTTTTGCCTGTCCAAGAGTCCCTGGTTGCTTGCTTTCACCTCTCTCCATTCCTGTGTGAACCCTTCCCACCCCACCCTGGCCATTGCACACTTCCCCAGTGACTCCTGTCTGTTGGCTTTTGTTTCCGCGGTGATGTGTGTGTTCTGGGTACTGAGATCCATGGCGATGGTAACCCTGCAGGTCTGCGAGGCAGTGGCGAGGGAGGCCCAGAAACCAGGGTCTTCTGGTAATGGGGAACTCCTGGATGTGTTGGCTTGAAAAAGAGAAAGCAAAAGAGAAACTAAGTCTGCAGAAACATCCTTTGTCAGAGCATGTTTGTTCTTAAGGAGATGGAAAAGATAAAAAGGCAGATTGTGCCTGACACCAGGAAATGGTAAGGATCAGCTGAATAAGCAGCAGCAGAGGCAGCGAGCTCAGCTGGCAGAGGCTGAATGGCCCTGTGTTGTAAGAATTAGGGTCATGATGTTGGAGTTTGTGTTGTGAGCCAGGTTTGACTGGGGATCCCAGGTGTGCCTTTTGAGACATGGTATCTTACCAAGGTGTCGCAGTGGCGGCTGGTTTGTGTCAATTCGGTAGTGAGGAGCAGACCCCCCTGCCAGGGCCTGCAGAAGCCTTGGGGGGACCGGGAGGACATGAATCATCCCTTACTACATAGGAGCTTTTCTTGCAAGAGCAGCAGCTGGCAGGACGTGGCTGGATGTGACTCTTCTGCCTGTTTTCCAGAACACCCTGTAATTTCTCCAGCACCCCCTCATTTTTCACGTGCTCTTCCTTGGCACTGGAAATTGTGTTTTGTTTCTCATGGGCTACAGGCCCTGCTTGCTGTCGTTCCTCCATCCCCGGCTCTCACCTGTCCTCCCCTGGGACCTCCTGCCTTGACAGCTTTACCGAGGACCCACTCCCTTCCCTCGAAGTGACAAGCATTTTGGGTCGCAGGCCACCATCCTCCTGGCTTCTGCAGCATTGCCTCAAGGCTGCTTCTGAGGATGTTGCTAGGTTTTATTTTGATTCCTTAATGAACCTAAACCTTTTGATTTTTTGTTTTATTTTTGCCTGTTTTCTGATATTGTCAGGGCATCAGAAAATCACAGTGTGTGTGTCCTTGTCTTACCTTGAAGACCGTTCTCAAAATTAGTTTATCAGGCTGGGGCCTGTGGCGCACACCTGTGATCAGGAGGCAAGTGTTCAAAACCTTGTCAGAAAAAACCCAACAAGTAAATCAATAAACCAAGTAAATTTCTCAGGGGTTAGAAACTGGTGGATACCCTTAGAAGCTTCGGCTGAGTTTTGGGGCTCATCCCTGCTCCACACAGTGCACAGTGTGCTGACTCAGTCTCCCTGTCCTTGCGTGCAAACCCTATGTGAGAAATCACAGTCCCCCACTGTTTCTGGTGGCCGCCTCTGACTTAGGTCCCACCCTCTCTGAGGTTGTGGATGTCATCGCAGTACATGTGTGTGTGTGCTGATCTAGACAGAGTAAGCAAGAGGGGGTCTTGAAAAGAGGCATTTGAGTATTACAATTTAACCACAGAAAACAGGTTCCATGTGGACATCATATACAGGAGGAGGCCATTTGTGTCTTTTCCTAACCGGTTTGTATTATTTTTTATTTTTTTGAGACAAGGTCTCACCATGTAGTTCAGGCTGACCCTGAACTCCTATCTAGCCCAGGTTGGCTTCACACTCATGGAAATGTTCCTGCCTCAGCCTCCTGCATGCTGGGATTACAGGCATGTGCCACCACACCCTGCTGGTTCTATGTTTTTGAATTTTTTCTTTTTTTAATTCATTTTTTTCATTCTTTCATTCTTTCTTTTTTTATTTATTTATTTTTTTTTTTGTGGAGCATAAGGGAGAATGCAGTTTATACAGTTACCCAGTGCAAGGATTATCTCTGGGCTGTCATTTATTCAGTAAGCAACAAGCCTGTTGCTATGGCACTAAGAGTTGTGGCAGGCAGGTTGGAAGTAGATGCTTCCTCATTGCCTGGAGAGATGGACGGAGAGCGTCTCAGTGGCCCCATCTTCAGGCTTCTGGAGGAAGCATGGCTGCTGCAGACCCGCATCCGGGAACAGAACTCTTCACATCCCCACTCTGTCATCCCGCAGAGGGCGACCAGTACCTGGGCTCGGGAGAGGGCATGTTCCGGAGACCATCGGAAGGACAGTCCCTCATCAGCTACCTCTCGGAGCAGGACTTTGGCAGCTGTGCAGATCTGGAGAAGGTAAGAAAGCTCGTTTGCTGAGACCTGGCCTGCAGGTCCGTGGTGCCGTGTTCAGTGAGGTTTCAGGGACACAGCAGTGCCAGGAGTGGCCTGCAGTGAAGATGACCTCAGGAGTCCTGTCTTTGGGAAACTTCAGGGAGCATGTGCTCTTCACTGGGTCCAAATTATTAGCCATTTAACTGGGCATGGTGGCAGATGCCTATAATCTAGCTACTCAGTAGGCTGAGGCAGGAGAATCACAAGTTTGGCCTATTTAATGAAGTGCTACCTTAAGGTAAAATTTTGTTTAAAAAGGGAAAGAGGATATAGTTCAGTGTTAAGAATGCATCCCTGGGGGCTGGGGATTTAGCTCAGTGGCATAAGCGCCTGCCTTGAAAGCAGACAGTTGTGAGTTCGATCCCTGGTACCGATAAAAACGAAAAAGCCAAAAAAAAAAAGAATGCATCTCTGACACAATGAGACCCTGGATTCCATCTCTAATACAACACAAAACAATGCCATGAAAGTTGGGTATAATGGCGTATACCCAGCAAACCAGAGGCTGAGGCAAGAGGATCTCCATGAGTTCAAGGCCAGCCTGGGCAACATAAGTGAGTTCAAGGCCAGCTTGCAATAGACAATGAGACTGTCTCCCAAAAAAACAAAAAACAAAACCCATAAAAATATTAGTGAGTTTTATCCTCAAAGCTACCCTAGTCAGAAGAACACTAAACTTGAGCTACATAATGATCTTCCTTTGATTCTGGAACCTTACTAACTCAAAAGTAACCTATATATTTTATTCTAAGACTCATGCATGTAATAATACCTGTGCAGCAGTTTATGGCTTACAAAACCCTCATTTGCCTTTGTGCACAGGTTTGTGACTTTGGAAAAGAGCCTGACTGAAACTCCTGGGCAGTGTTCCTTTTTTTGTTTACTAGACAAAGATCTTTATTTTATTTTATTTTTTTTTATTAATCTTTGTTTCAGACTTTATTCCCAAGCTTCTCTTAAGCTTATTAGCTGCAAAGATGAAATTATGTATAAGTAAAAACCGAGAGGAGGAGCCAGACATGGTGGCAGAAGACTGTAATCCCAGCACTCAAGAGGCCGAGGCAGGACAATCCCCATAAGTATGAGGCCGCCTAGGGTACATGGGAGTTCCAGGCCAGTCAGAACTACATAGTAAGACACTGTCTCAAAAAAAGATAAAGAAAACAAAACAAAACCAAGAAATACTGCAAAGAGCTACAGTATCCAAGGGTCTTGGATTTTAAACATTAGCGATCTAGATGTTATAAGTCCATAAACAAAATAGTTTTCAGAAACAGTTATAAGACCCAAAAGGCAGCAGCTCCCAGTTATTTCAAGCTTTATCATCATTTTCTTCTTCTTCTCCTCCTCCTCCTCCTCCTCCTCCTCTTCTTCCTCCTCCTTGTCCTCCTCTTCTTTCTCCTTCTTTTCCTCCTCCTCCTCCATCCTCCTGTTCTTCTTTTCTTTCTTTCTTTTTCTTTTTTCTCCGAGACAAAGTCTTACTCTGTGGTTCAGGCTGCCTTTGAACTCACTGTATAGCCCCGGCTGGCCATCCAACTCCAAGCGACTTCTTTGGTGCCCCCCTCCCCAGGAGAACGCCCACTTCAGCATCTCCGAGTCCTTGATCGCCGCCATCGAGCTAATGAAGTGCAACATGATGAACCAGCGTCTGGAGGAGGAAGTGGAAGAGGAGGACAGCGATCGAGAGATCCAGGAGTTGAAGCAGAAAATCCGCCTCCGACGCCAGCAGATCCGCACCAAGAACCTACACTCCGAGTACCAGGAGATGGAGCCTGGGAGTGAGTAGGGCTGGGGCTCCTTTGTGCTGCTCCTCACAGTTCTGCTATCTTAAGACAGGGTTTTGTTATTTAGTGCAGGCTGGCTTGGAGCTTAGTATGTAGCCCAGGCTGGCCTCAAACTCACTCTGATCTTCCTGCCTCAGCATCCTGAGTGCTGTGATCACAAGTGTGCTATCACGCCTTGCTTCTGGTCTTCCTTTAGAATGTTATACTCAAGCCAAGAGTTTCTTTGCTCTCAGGAAGATATTGCTATGCTGTTCTTTTTTAAGCCAGAGTAAGAATTGTCACCCTAGAGTTCATCCATTTCTTACATTAGAAATAGCTTCCTTCTGGAATAGGCTTCTGATATGAAAAGAGCCATGACTACTTCTGGCTTTGATGCCTAAGTAATAGGATCTTGTATTACAAGAAACTTTCTAAGGAATCTGGTTTTGGTGGTGCATGCCTGTAATTCTAGCACTTGGGAGACTGAGGCAGGAGAATCATTAAGAGTTCAAGGCTGGTCTGGCCTACATAGTAAGTTCCAGACCTGCCTGAATTGCATTGCAAGACCCTGTTACAAAGCAGGAAAAAACACAACAAAGCCTTTCTTGGGATAACTGGTATGGGAAGGAGCAGGAGACCCTTTTGTCCTATTTATTGTTACTATTTTTTTTTTTAATCGGTACTAGGGATTGAACTCATGACCACGCGCCTGCAAGGCAGGCACTTATCCTGCTGAGCTAAATCCCCAGCCCCTATTGTTACTATTTTTTAATACAACAGGCTTTCGGGTCACCTCCAGCAGCTCCCAGTTTAGCTCTCGGGACTCAGCACAATTCTCTGATTCTGGCTCTGCTGATGAGGCTGACGAATTTGAAATCCAAGGTAAGAAACGACCTTTTGTTACAAAGGAGCTTTTATTTCTTGTTTCCTTCTGTTTGGAATCACAGGCCAACAGACCCCAGCGTAGGCAATCTGCATTGTGGTCCATTAGGAAATGTTGGTTACTGTAAAGGACAACTCTTGCTAAAGCCAAAACTCCTTTAAAACTTAAGTTCAAAGCCAGCCTGGGCTATGTAACAAGACCTGATCTCAAAACCCAAAACAAATAAGGACTAAGGTAAATAAAATCTAAGCAGAAGAGAACACGGAAGCGAAGTGCTCGGCTGGAGAGGGCTCACTGTGCTCCTCCCTCTTTCTCTTGGATTTTCACTCGGATTCCTCCTGCCTCGTCAAGCCTACCTGCACCAACGTGAAATCAGAAGGAGCTTTATAAAGGACAAGAAGCATCATCTAGGCGAAAGCCAAAAAGGAAACTGGTTCACAGAGTAGGACTCCCAGGTCTGTCACAGCAGTGTGAACTTGCTCTGTGGAATCCCTGGCCTCGGGGGAAGGATCAGCCTGGAGAGAGGAGGGTCCCCTCCCCGGAGGCAGGGTTCTCATTCGGGTTACCATTCTGCTCCTACAAGTTATTGATTTCTTTAGTTTTTCATCATTAGACATATAACCAGCAGAGCTCTTCCCCAGGGGTGATTTCCTAACCCAGCCAGACTGTAGCTGCAGTGCTCCTGTGTGACACTGTAATACGGTGAGGAAGGGCTCTCCGAAGCCATGTTACAGAGCCACACACCCGCAAGTCCTCTAGGCAAATGGTTGCTCAGCAGCACAGTGCCTGCCTGGCAAGCGCAAGGTCATGAGTTCAATTCCTGGTACCAAAAAGAAAACAAATATGACCTCCAAGTGAAGTAGCCAGCTTGCTTTCCCATTTAGAAACTCAGATTTTCCAGGTTGTTCCTGATTACTATCATAGTATGGTGGTCACTTAAAAGTCTGTTTTCTTCCTATGTGGCTTTCTAGGAACAGTTCTTGAATTCTCTAATACCACGTAGGTGAACACCAATCAGTTCTGACACTGACTGCCTTGAATGCACGCAGTTCCATGACTGCTGGGCTCAGTTTCCCTACCTTACTCCTGCGTCAGATGCCAGCTGCCAGTACCGTCCCTGCACCACTCTGCTGCTGACTGCCAATTTATGCATTCCCAGGAGCCCTCCTAATTTAGGAAAGGGCTGCATTTAAGATTATAGTTTAAACTGGGCATGGTGGTGCATGACTGTAAACTTAGCACTCAGGAGGCTGAGACAGGAGGGTCACAGCAAATCTGAGGCTACCCTGGGCTACATAGTGACTTCAGGGCCAGCCTGAATCACATAGTGAGATGTCTCAAAAAACAAACAAACAAACCCCACAAACAAACTATGTAAATATATTTATATTTACATAGTTTATTATAAAGCATGCAAATAAACAGCTACACAAAGGAGAACATAGAACAAGGTCCTGCAGAGACCCTAGCCTAGGGACCTCTGTGTCTTCTTGGAGTCCAGGAGTGCTACCTCCTAGTCTGTCTGTGTGGTTGTCTACCAGGGTGTTCCCCAGACTTGGGCACTCCATTTTCCTCATTGCTGTGCAGGGCCTGCAAAATGACTGCATTAGCACACCCTCAGGGATGGTCAGAAAGGCCTCCTTGTGAGTAAGAAAAGATATTGCTACCCCTTAGGAAAGTCGGGCTTTGGGGTGCTTTGGGGAAAACTAGGAACAACGATCAAATACATATATATATTTGAATGTATCACGGTCTGTGATTGATTTGGTCTCTAGATTAGAAGACAGTCCCAGAAGAGCTGCAGAATTCCCTGAGGGTACAGTGAAGGCAGATGCAGAACACGCAGCTCCTCAGCATGTCCCCAGAGCAAAGCAGGAGCCAGGGCCCACTTCAGCCTGGAAGGAGCCCACCCAGAGGAGACCCTGGCACTCTGCTGGTGGAAAGTGCTGCAGCCCTGATCACCAGGGAGACACTGAGTCAGTCAACTTCCTAGTCAGTTCGGACCAGGAACCTGGACAGAGAGAGCTCAGACAGTGTTCTGGTCCCCTGGCTATGTGATTCTGCAGTGTCGCATGGGGTTGTAGCGCCGTCTCTGGCTCTACCTGCTGGATGTCAGTAGGAGCCCTCCCTACTCAACAGTCTGTAGTGCCTTTGGATTTTGTGACCATTGCCCATGGTGAAGCTACTGTCTTTGGAGGTCACTGAGGCCAGGCATCGGGGGAGATAGCTGTAGCCACCTTCCGGGCTTTAGTGAGCTTCTCTGTGAATGTAAGCTCCTAAAAGTGTTTCATCTTTAGGAGCAAAGTCCTGGTCCCAGAAATGTGCAGAATGTCAGTCTTATCACTTTACTCCCCATCAGAGGATTGAAGACTCCTTTTGATAATCATTGTCACACAGATGGTAGCAAAGTTTCTAACCTGATTCTCACAACAAAGAATGGATTCTCAGGGTCACCCAGCCTTGCTGTTCTCAAGTAGCCGTGCTGGAGTGTGGATGTGCTTATGTGTGCATGTGTGTGAGTGTGTGTGCCACTTCTGTACACACTTGACCCTGTGTCACCTGTCTAGTGAGCAAGAGTACATGGCTGGAGGAGTGATTGGAAAAAAGCAGGCTTCCGCCAGAACAGGCTGCCAGGGACAATGAATGTCTTTCCCCATCGGATGCCCTTAGCCCTCCTCACTGAGTGGGGTCCTTGACCTTCCCGGCACTAATATTGTGGATTCAAAAGCCCTGTGACTGATGGAGGTGGCAGCCCGTTTAGAAAGGAACAGAGAATTGCTGTCACTAAGCTACTGCAACATATTTAGACAGCAAAAGCCAGGCAGAATATTAGGATGACGTTTAATGTTTCTTTCAGGTTTTGAATTTGCAGAGCCAGCTTTCAGAAAACTGCGTCTTCTAGAACTTTCAGAAAGTTTCTCTTCTCATACACAATTAGGAATTAGAAACTTGGATTTAGTGATCACTGTGATTCATGGTAGGCATTCTGTGGGGTATTAACTGGAAGAAAATAATAGTTTTCTATTAAAAATGGTTTTAAAATACAGACATGAAAAATTCAGAACTGTTTTAAAACAAAAGGGGTAGGAATGTGTGGGGGTAGAGATTTTATGAAGCATGCTTGCGGCCCTCAGTTCAATCCCCAGTACCACAAAAAATCAAAATAGATTTGAGCTGAGTATGGTGGCACATGCCTGTAATTCCGGCACTCAGGAGGCTGAGGCAGGAGGATCACCTCGAATTTGAGGCCAATCTGGGCTACTGAGTGAGTTCAGGGCCAGCCTAAACTACATAATGAGATCATGTCTCAAAAAAAAGAAGTTTTCAATGAGGCTTAATTTATATAACACCTGCTTCACATTACATCTGCGTCAAATATACAATTCAAGGAGTTTTAATAAATTTGCCAAATTGTATAATCATCTTTATAATATAGTTTCCGAACATTTTCATCATCGCAAGATCTCACTGTAAATTTCTGCCTCCTACAGCTAATTCCTGTTTCCACTTCAGCCACAAGCAACTAGTCATGTACTGTGTCTCTGTGGATTTATGCTTTCTGGACATCTCGGATCAGTGGAATCATACAGTGTGTGATGTTATCCTTTGTGTCTGGCTTGTTTCACTTTATTTACTTTTACTGTCGATGTCTGCCCAGTTGGACTGATCTCATTACTAAAATCAAAACCCCCAGACTGTCTTTCACATTCTTTGGTTTTAGGGTTTGTTGCCCTTATTGTTTCTCTTCACTTCATCCTTTTTTACTACAACTTTGTCAATTCTTATTTACTTCCTTTGCAGATTCTTCTAGCGTTTCCATCCTGTGTATATGGATCTGTTAGGATCTGGTCAGGGGACAGAGGTCACAGTCATTCCAACAGGGAAAGCCTAACATTCAGAATTGTTAACTGCAGTGGGAAATGGAGTAAAGAGACCCGGAGAATGCAGGAAGGGCAGGCAGAGGTGGCAGCAGGGAAGGGGCACATGTAAGTAAGGGCTGTGCCCCCAGGCCTGAGAGCAGACCTCCCTGGGGGAGAGCAGCCCCGAGGTGCTGCCGTGTGGTGCTGTCCCCGGGGAGGTGGCCATGCCAACAGCCTCGTGTGGACACCATTCCTGGGTGACCTTAGAACCTGACTCTTTGGAACCCTGTCTCAACAAAATAAAACACAAAAACAACAACAAAAATTTAAGTATTAAAAATTAAAAACAAGCAACAGCAACCAAAAACCACTTTGAGGTTACTGGGCCCATCCAAGACACTGTAGCGTTACCTGCACAAATGCCGAAGCTGAAAGGTCTGTGAAGGGCATTCCCCTAGACCTCTCCCTTCCTCCTGCTGTGGCAGTGCTATGTACAGTGACACAGGACAACTAGGTTTTGGTGGCACATGTCCAGGCAGGAAATACGAAATAGATGAAGGTCTTTGTTGTTCAGTGAAATAGACTGTTGGTTACCAGCAAAATTTGGTGAATGAAACCTAATGAACCAATCTCAATTTTGATAACCAGCTATATATACAGCTTTGAAGTCATTAGTCTGCCTGCAATATTTGTGTATGTGCTTATATGCAGAACTATGGGTTGAGTATTGAAGACCAAAGGAAAATTAGACACACTCTCTTTTCCTTACAAGGAGATTTTGTAATCTAGTTGTGAGGATAAAAATCTCCATATAGTGGAAATATTTGATGCATTGAGCTACTTACTCATGGTGTATGAGCTTGTTGCTTGCGTGAGGGAATCACCAGTGGACTGACGGGCGTGTGGGGTTACCCAAGGGGAAAAGCCTTTTCACATGATAGCAGAGGAGATGAGAGATGGATACATCAAAATTGTCTTTCATTGTTCAGGTAGGTTCTATCTGCCTTTCTTGAGCATGGGTAATGAGGTCTCTGGACGTTTCGCATAGACTCCTTTACCGGAAATAGGCTTTGGAAAGTCAGTCAGTGTTTCCTCTCATTATGCGTGATGGTCGGGCATAAAGATCAGGTGGACATTCGCTGTGCAGAATGATCAGTTTCCAGGCCTGTCCCTGAACTCACCAAGCCATGGAGCTCTTTTCCTTCCTCTGCCGCCAGACGGAGATGTAGCGTTTTTAAGGATATAGAAAACTTCTAACACTTGATGAAAACGGCACCAGTCAGGAGATGCTAGAAGCAAATTTCCAAGCATGCAAATATGTAATAAATAGTAACCTCTACAATCCAAATTTCATGTTGAGTGCTAAGAAAAACCAGGGCTGGGGGCTGGCGCAGGAGGGTCATCAGGAGTTTGAGGCCAACCTGGACTATATACCAAGACCCTATCTCAACCCCCCATCTCTCCCCAAAAAGTCCTGTTCAGTCCCTAGCAGTGGCAGATGAATGAAGCCAGCGTTCTGCCCTGTGGCCATTTAAGGTTCAAATTAGAGACCAAAAGAGAGATGGCAATCCTCTGTTCCCGCTTGCTAGGGGTTGTGTTCCTGTCTGCCTAAAGATGCCTGCTTTTCTCATTCACTATTTTACATCCACTCTGGAGTTTGAGTTCCAACCTGGATGTGTGTCCACTTTGGCCTTCCCAGAGCTCTGTGCCTGGCACTTGCTTGGCCTGCTCGGGACTTGAGTAGAGCCAAACTAGAAGTTTAGAGCTTCTCTTCCCCCTACACCCGCACAGAGGGAGTGGCAAGCTGCTGCCTCCAGCTGGCCGTACCTCTTGATGGCTATACCTCCTCACTGTCCACTTCCTGCTCCCCTAATCTCTGGTTTCCATTTAGATTCTGACGTCCGGCGGAGCATGGCCTCGAACAGTAAACCCTTCCTTTCCTCCCAGTCTGTGTGAGTAGTTTGGCTTTGGGACTCGAAGACCAGTGCATTTCCACTATGCATGTGTTGGAAGATGAGGGAGGACGGGAAGCAGTTCCCGAGGTTGGTCCCCATCCTGAGGGGGCCCCAGGAGCCCCATGTTGGCACTGTGCTCAGCTTCCCCGGCTGCTTCTTTTTCAGCTCCCACTGCTTCCTGCATTCCACGTCCGCTGAGGCGGTGGCCATGGGGCTTCTGAGGCAGTTCGAGGGCATGCAGCTTCCGGCTGCCTCGGAGCTGGAGTGGCTGGTTCCAGAGCATGATGCCCCTCAGAAGGTAGGTGTGGGGCCCAGCTGTTTTCTGATCTTATGTTTCCTTCCTTGTGTGTGAAAACCATTTGTGACATGTTAGATGAGTGACTGAATGAGTGAATGCCCATCTAGGTTTTTCCTAGCAATCATCAAAACAGGATGTTAGAGAGGTGTTGCTGTCCTTGTGCCATATCGCTGCTCACAGAGCTTGAGCTGGAGTTCCTGCTTTGTGGCCAACTTTTGAGACACTGCAGAAGTCTTGAAGGCATGAGACCCCTTGCTGCATTGAATTCCTGGGATGAGACCCACCACCCGGGACACTGTGCCCAGTCTTAAGCCCCTCACTTTTAGTGCCTGGTGCTTTCTGGCGTGTGTTGAGGCCAGTGCTCCCTGAAGTCCTTGGCCTGTGGTGTGACTGAAATGTGATTCATTCACTGTGCTTCCCTGGTGGCCGCAAGGGCCAGGCCTGTGCACGCAGACCCTGACCTGCTCCCCGCATTCTCTCCCCGAGCTGCTGCCCATCCCTGACTCCCTGCCCATCTCGCCCGACGACGGGCAGCACGCGGACATCTACAAGCTGCGGATCCGCGTGCGTGGCAACCTGGAGTGGGCCCCACCCCGGCCTCAGATCATTTTTAACGTTCATCCAGTCCCAACGTGAGTACCCGCTGCGCTCCCCACGTGGCTGAGAGGGCACCTGCCCACCTGTCTCTGCTTCCAGCTGTACTTGAGCGTTACTCTTCACCTTCCTGCGCCTCCCCAGTGTACCCGGCCGTCACACTTCTTGCTGGCATTCCCAGCCTGCTGCCCCTCTCCTGCTAGTTAGTGTAGGAGCTCACTGGTTTTTCTTATGAAATGGCTGGGTGCGTTTCTCCAACCATTACACTTTTGCCTTGGCTCATTTTGGGGGCCACCACCGCCAAGACCTGAGCCCTAACCTTCCACCCTCAGCTCTGTTCAAAGGCGCAGGTGACTTCCCTCTTTCCTGTATCATCCATCCCCTCCTCTTCTGTACCTGGAGGCCTGCAAAGCCACCTGCCATTGCCCCTTCTTCACCTTTCCCCAGGAGGAAGATCGCTGTGGCCAAGCAGAACTACCGCTGCGCGGGATGTGGCATCCGGACTGACCCCGGTGAGGCCACCCTGGCTCTGTACCCCCCGGGGGCTGAGCCTCCTCCCACACCTTGGAGAAAGGCGCCTTTCAGGGGAGCAGGAAGAGGTGACAGGGCAGAGCCTGAGAGAAGGAAAGAGGGGGAGGAGGACTAGCAAGAGCAATGGCTCTCAGAGAGGAATGTCGCTGGAGAAAGGGTAGCTGTGGGCAGTTGGGGACAGCAGGGCACCAGCTCTGGCAGCCTTGTTTCGTCTGTGGTCTCTGGGATCTGGGATCCACAGACGCTACTGTATGGAGTTCTGCTGGCTTCAGGGAGCTTAGACAGGAGGTGGCTGTAGGTCACAGGCTGTCCTCCTCCACCCTTTGAGGAGCAGCAAGACCACCTCACACATGTCCAGATGCACAAGTCACATCCACTCCACTTCTTCCAGATTACATCAAGCGGCTGCGGTACTGTGAGTACCTAGGCAAGTACTTCTGTCAGTGCTGCCATGAGAATGCCCAGATGCTCATTCCCAGCCGGGTCCTGCGCAAGTGGGACTTCAGCAAGTACTGCGTCAGCAATTTCTCCAAGGACCTGCTCCTCAAGATCTGGAACGACCCCCTCTTCAATGTGCAGGACGTCAACAGCGCCCTCTACAGGAAGGTCAAGCTGCTCAACCAAGTGCGGGTAAGGCCCGCTGCTGCCCTCGCTGTGGTCGTCTCACCAGAGTCCTCACCAGGGTCTAGCTGTAGCCTTCTCACCATCCTGCTCTGTTTCCTTAGCCTTTTATTCTTCGTTTGCTTTGTGTGGTGCTGGGGTTGGAACCCAGGGCCTCACACATGCTGGGAAAACCCTCCACTGCCAAGCTATACCCCTGGCCCTCTGTACTCCTTTGACACCCCGATTTCCTAGCTGTCTGTCTCCCCAGAGCCCCAAACTTGCATCAGCAGGTCTGAAGCTGTAGCATTTGATGGCAAAGAGAACTTCCCCCTTCAGTGAAAACAGTGCCGAGCAGAGCGTAGGGTGGGAGACTCGCAGGGCCCGGTCTTCCTCACGCGCGGCCCTCCCCACCCTGCCCGTGTCTTCTCTCCAGCTGCTTCGGGTGCAGCTGTGCCACATGAAGAACATGTTCAAGACGTGCCGACTGGCCAAGGAGTAAGTCCTGGGGGCAGTCGGGAAGGAGATTAGGGGACTTGGTACACATGTCCAGGATGGTACCTGAGAAGCCACAGCAGTGGCCGTGCTGCCCTCTTCAGAGAGGAAATCTGGCTATTCCATTCAGGGCAGGCCACCGCTCTGTAAGCTGCTGTTCATTACTCTGCACAAGCTCGTAAGTGAAGTCACTTCTGTCATGCAGACACCTGTTGGTGCGGGAATCCTGGGGTGGCTGGAAGATTAGGGCCAGTAAATGTCCCCACCCTCAGATTTTCTTTTCTCTTCCTTGGGACTAAATGGAGCTTTTTCTACTGCAGTGTGCTGTGCGAAATGTTCATCCCTTCTCCACCCTCTGCTTCTCACTGCAGCCTCCTGGACTCCTTTGACACAGTCCCAGGCCACCTGACAGAGGACCTCCACCTGTACTCTCTCAACGACCTGACCGCCACCAAGAAGGGGGAGCTGGGGCCGCGGCTGGCAGAGCTCACCCAGGCAGGGGCTGCCCACGTGGAGCGCTGCATGGTGAGGCCTTGCCACGGTGTGCAGAGCGGCCTTGGCTTAGGGCTGGGGAGCGGGTGGAGCCAGGTCCTTGGCGCTCTGCTCAGGACACTGACAGGGCCGGCCAGCACTGCTGGTGAAACCGCAAAGGCTTGCCACTCCGAAGGCAGTGAGCCGCTCAGTCATCCACAGTAAAGAATTAGAGGAGGAACTGGTGCTGGCCTCGCCCTCCTGAAGAACTGTCCTGTGTGAGAAGGGAATCATGGCTTTATTCTCAGTCACTGTGACCAAAAGAAATAGTTTCCTTGTCTCTAAAATGAAAATATCGTCCACACTATCCTTTCCTCCCAATATTTTTTTTTTTTTAATTGGTACTGGGGATCGAACTCGTGACCACCTGCTTGCAAGGCAGGTGCTTATGCTGCTGAGCTAAATCCCCAGCCCCTCCTCCCAGCATTTTTGAGCACTGATGATGTAACTTCTGTGACAGCCTTTTATAAACTTTCAAGTATTCGACAAGCGTGGTTATTGTTTGTGGTAAATTAAGCATGCCAGAAGTTCAAAAACTCCATTTTTATTTTTTATGTAGTTTGAGCCAGTTTTCAACTCACTGTGTACCCCAGGCTGCCCTCAAACTCATGGCAGTCCTGCCTCAGCCTTCAGAGTACAGATACTCTATTTTATTTTATTTTATTTTATTTCTTTTTGGTATCAGGAATTGAACTCACAACCTCGCACTTTCCAGGCGGGCTCTGTGCCACTGAGCTATCTCCCCGGCCCCAGACATTCTGTTTTACATCTTTCCCTCTCAGCCTCTGTGTGCTTTGTGTTTCCATGGCAGGTGGTCCCAGAGTTCAAGCTCTAGAGGGGTGCAGCTAGAGCTGTGTGGTAGGGAGTGGGATGGACTTCTCTAGCCTGACTGGAGGCTGGTGTTTACTTGAGGAAGCAGCCTTGTTTTATATTTTGCCTTAATTAGCAGTGATGTGTACGCCAGAATAAAACCATTACTCAGACTGGCACACTGAGTCTGAAGCTCTGGGGCTCTGTCCCTTCCTCCTTTTGTCTCCTGTCTGAGAGCTGCTCACGGCAGGGGCTTCCCAGGCCTGCACCTCTTGTGTCACCACTGAAAGCTGTCTGAGCTGCCCACCGCTGGCCCTCATCCGGCCCACGCCACGTCCACCCCAGCCTCATCCCTGGAGGCTCTCAGACCCCTCAGCTCTTGCCATCTGCTCCCTGGTGTCCTCTCTCTGGGGCGGTTCCTCACTGTTGCCTGTCTGCTTCCTCGCAGCTCTGCCAAGCCAAGGGCTTCATCTGTGAGTTCTGTCAGAAGGAGGAAGACATCATCTTCCCTTTCGAGCTTCAGAAGTGCCGCATCTGTGAAGGTGGGTGCCGGTTCCCAGCCCGGGGCAAGCGCCACCTAACGTCAGCGAGCTCAGTCCCCGGAGCACCCGTTAGCTGCAGCTTGGCTCCTTGGGCAGCTTCTTGGGTCCCAGCACTGCAGCACTGGCTGTGCTGGTGAGAAGGGGCCGTCACAGCGGAGGTGACAAAGTGTCCCTCCCTCTTGTCTCTTCCCCGAACAGAGTGCAAAGCATGCTACCACAAGGCCTGCTTCAAGTCTGGACGCTGTCCCCGGTGCAAGCGGCTGCAGGCCCGGCGGGAGCTGCTGGCCAGGCGCAGCCTGGAATCCTACTTGTCCGACTACGAGGAGGAACCTGCGGAGGCCCTGAGCCTCGAGGCCACCGTCCCCGAGGGCACCTGAGGGAAGCACATGGGTTCTCCGTCTTGACACCAGGGTCACACAAAATGCAGAACTGAGCCACCCTTTGAAGGACTTTCACCCTTGGGGATTTTTTTTTTCTAAATTATTATTTTTTTAATGACTTGTTGGATGTTCATGTGTAGCCAATCTCTGTTCGGTGGATGGGGCCAGTCTGTCCTAACAGCTAATTACTAGGCACCAGCACCTTCAGTCAGGACTGACACAGGGTCCTGAGCGAAGCTTCTGGCGCCCTGGCAGGGAGCAGACACGAGAGCCAGTTCTGTCACCATGGTCCTCCCACAGGACCAGCTCTGCTCTTCGCGCAGTGTCATCTCCACTTGTTTTTAGTTTCCGAGCCTCTAAACCAGCTGTCCTCTCCTTTGCTGCTGTAACGCTGGGTGGGATTTTCTCCAGCTGGGTCCTGAAAAGGAGAGAAGTACAGAGAGCGCAACTCCATGGGGGTGTCCAAAGGCCCTTTGGGGGCCATAAAAGCAGTCATTACTGCCCTGGAGCTCAGAGACCTCAGCGAGACAGACAGCTGTGGTGCCCTTGTGCAGAGTGTCCTAGGCAAAGATGGAGGCTCACGCCGACTTTCTTCACCTCCCCAGTGGGCTTGAAGCAAAGAATGTGACCGAGGCATAGGCTTGGCCTGAGTGCAGCCTGCACTGCTGCGTGAGTGAGGCGCGGCTGCTGAGGTGCATTTATCCAGGTAGAGAGCTGTGGCGCCCTGAGGTGTCGAGGTCCCCAGTAACTGAGCACAGTGTGGTATTTCAAGCTCAGGCCAGTCCCCGATGCCCTGCATAAGGACAGAAGCCTTACTGTGGACCGTCTTAACGGGGTCCCTTACTGCTGTGTCCTGTTGGGTGGTCACAGTGGTTCTCGTTAGAGATATAGCCCAGCTCCATTCTGTGTCCCTTGTGCCACCAAACTGGGACCCTCGCTGGTGGCTGATCTCTTGCCTTAGTTTTTTTTTTTTCAGAGTTGGAGAAAAGCCTGCTATTTGTAGTGTTAGAGAACTTGACAGTTTGTGGACTTGAATGTGAATGTCCCTGCATTCTTGGGATAACGTCTTTACGCCAGTTATGCACTTACCTCTTCATCCACCCTGGTGACTGTCATACCCTCAGCCATTTCTCGTGACTTGTTTAACATACTTCCCACCCCACGTTAGTGTGTATTTTGGGGGAAAAGCACTTGGTTGAGGGAGGGGGGCTCAGTATGTGTTTGTGGTGTTCCTGAAGTTGCCGTAACTCCTGGCTGCCGTGTGAAACGCTGGTTGGGGTTGCTTCTCCAGTGGCCCCTCAGTGCCTCACCTGGCAGTGTTCTGGGGCCATGTGGTCACTAGTCAATAAGCTTTTGCCTGGGTGTGGCCCCCGGAAGCCAAACAGAAAGTTGCACATGGTTGGTGGAAGCTGATTTGTGCCAGAGCTGGGGGACACAGGGATCTCGTGCGGAAGTGGAAGGGGTATTAGGGTAACCGCTGAAGTGAAGCTGTACCATAGCAGGAGGGACACGGAGGGGGATCCTCTGCCCAGGCTCGGGGTTGGGGGGCTCAGTGGGCCCGTTTTGCCCCCTGCTCATGGCGAGGCTCTAAGAGCCAAGGCCCAGTCCCGGCTTGAAGGGCTGACGAGAAGTTCTCATCCATCGGGAGCTTTAAGAGTGACTCCACATTTCACTGCGGTGAGGCCCCGGTTCAGACTCGGGTTTGTGAAAGTGGTGGACTCCACTTCCAGTTTTGGTTTAAATTTCAAGCCCATCTACTTACACCAAGTCACTACACTGGAGGAGCCGCGACTCCCGCGTCCTGTCGCGGAGGACCAGAGCCGGACTCCGCCACCTTCCAGGCTCCACGTTCTTCCCTGTTTTCCACAGCTCCCTTGCATCCCTTCAGAGGCCACGTGTTTTAGTGACTGTGTTGTGAAGCTGTCCTCACAGGCCACATACCCATGTATTTTTTTACTGGAGAGTCGGGGAAGAGGGCTGAGGAAGGGATGTTTCGAGAGCACTTTGCAACCTAGCATAGCTGAGAAGCCCTGCTGTCATGGCGCACTGACAGTCCCTTCTGCGTGACGTGGGAGGCGAGGAGGGGCTTTTCTGTACATAAAGGGAAAACAAGCTTGCTTCCAAGGTAGAGATGAGAGAGTGCAAGGCCGGCCTTGCCGCTCACATGAGGCGGCCACCGACTTCTCTCTGCCGTGTTGTGCTTTTGTTGCCTTAACACAAGGGAGCAAGTCAGCAGAGGTGTCATGGCGGTGGACACGCCACTCGTGTGTGAGCTGGACGTCCACTTGCTGCTGTTCTGGCCCCGCCTAGCAGTCCATCACCATCTTTAATAAACTAAGTAAATGAAATCTGCCTGTCGCGTGCCTGCCTTCCTGTCAGGAAATGGACCTGAGCGGGTGCCTGTGAGGAGCACAGCTGAGAACTCCGGTCCGTGAGGTGTGGCTCCCCCGTGACCCCTTCAGTGGTGCTTCATCATCCCCAACCAGAGTGTCCAAAGCAGCAGAAGGACAGTTCCCAGACCTAACCATTAGTCACCCCACTTTGAAAATTCCATCCCCATCTCGGCCTTTGACTTCCTCTCCAGTAGGTGTCAGGTCTGGTGAGTCAAGCATTATCTCCTTCTACTTCGAATCATCAGCTTCTGAGATAAACAGCAGAATCTAAGGAAAAATCAAGAGACCAAGGCAGCGGGGTGGGGTGGGGATTTGCAGACCTGTTGAGCACAGTTTTTCCCTCACAGTGGACAGACACACGGCATCCAGGAGAAGGAGGAGGCTTTGAATTTTACAGCTCCCTGGGAAAGGTGGGCTCAGAGTGCTTTGTTTTTCCTTCCTACTTTTGGCTTTTGGCCCCACTGGGGGGTGGGGGCATGAGAGAGAGAGAGAATGCTAGGGGATGCTAAGTGCTTCCCTGCAGCCACACCTGGAACCAGCTTCAGGTGGACGCACAGAGCAGACCACTGTGTCTTGGAGCTGGCAGGGACAGCTGGAGGGTGAAATAGACCACAGGCAGCAGGATTAGGTGGGTTAGGGAGCAGCTTCCGAGAGGATAAGCAGGCATCTTCTTCCTGGCTGTCTCCCTACCCCAGAGTCACAGGTGACACCCCCTGTACTGTGTACCACCCGCTGAGTAGGCCAGACTGCTTTCCTCCAACAGCCTGAATAGCCAGTTGGGTGTGGGAATGCATGCCTATAATCCCAGCACTCGGGAGGCTGAGGCTGGAGGGTTGCTGTGAGTTAGTTCTAGGCCAACCATGACTACCTAGTGAGCTTAAGACTAGCCTGAACTATATGGCAAGACCCTATCTCAGTTAAAAAAAAAAAGAGGAGAGATGGCCAAATAGAACATTTGCACAAGTCTGAGATGACTATGCAGCTGACTGACACTAGGACCTCCAGTCTAATTGCGTGACTTGGCCTGCAATGTGGCCTGCAGTCGGGGGTCACCATTCCATGTAGGTGACTCCCTGGAGATGTGGGAGAGCCTCTAGGGAAATACTGTTCTTACCACGTCCCCTCCCAGCCTGGCAGCTGGAGCAAGTATGGTTGGTGGTCCCAACCACATTTGCGCAGCAAGAGCAGGATCTTCTGACCTCCCTGTAATGACTTCTGCTCTTAGTTCTCTCAGTTCTTTTCTTGCCAGTGAACCTCCACGTGGTTACTTTCCGAACTCTGGCAATCTCAGGGAGCATGTCCTTGTCTCAGCTTCCCTCTGCCTCTGTGGTTACACCCTCTCCTGGGTGTTGCCTGGCTGTCGCTATCAGGGGAAATTTGCTCTGAAGGGCCAGCTCTTTCCTTTCAGGGACTGCACAGAGAGGTAAGATGGTATTTACATGCTCTAGAGCGCCCTGGGGATTTAGACCTCCCTGTCTACAATATAAACTAAAGAGAAGACACAGAGCATGGAGCTGAACAAATGTTTCCCAAGCCACAGGAAAACACCCGCAGTGCAGAATTTTTACTTTGTGCTAAAGCCCTTTGTTTATTGTTGCAAATTTAGGTATCCATCACAGGAAGGCCAAATTTGATTTTCAGCAAGTTCTTAACACTCAACTTAGATTTTAGATCTTCCTACACCTACAGAGAAAAGACCACTCCATAAGAACAAGTACTGTGGTTACAGTGCCTACCCAGCACCCGTCCACCCCCATTTGTCCATTCATTCATAACCCATCTACTCCACCCCCATCCCACATACACACCCATTGTTATTTCTGTGTTCTGAGCACCAGGCCTGGGCTGAGATTACAAAGAATCACAGGACATTGTTTCAAGAGATGTTTACTGCAGCACCATGCCAATTAACACTTAGTAATGGAAACCATTCAAAGTTAGATGATGGTTACAAGGGAACCAAAAGAAGCCTGGAGAATACTTAACTGTAACAGACCACTGACACTTAAGAAATCCCAGTTCTCATCTTGGCCAGATCGTTTCTGAAGATGGGGCTGGGGAAGGTTATACTAGAGCCCCACGGTGATGATGATTGTCCATCAGTGCCCCGTCCAACCCTGTGTGGATTCCTGGGACTTTAGGAACGTGGCCAGTGTAGGTCTGCAGGAGAGGCAGCTCCACTCTGACCCAGGGTCCAGGCTCTTGTAGGACCCAAGTTGTATTCATGTCTGTGTTTAAAGCCAAAGAATCACATCTCCATGTGTTCCATGAGGACCACAAGCTCCTCTTTTGCATAACCTGATACTTGGATTTATATTTTGAGCTGGGCATTCTGTTGCAAAACAACACAAGAGACACCCAGGGGGAAGAATGTAGTTAGACCACGTCAGTAAAGTGGGGAGGTCTTGCAGCACACTGGTACGTGAGAAAAGGGAGGATGAGAATGTGTCAGGTCCCTGTGAGTCCATATTGACATAAACAAATGATTTCATAAGCACAGAAGAGCTCAGTTTTTCTCACAGAATTCTACCCAGGCTGTAGGAAATGCAAAACCCCAGTCTAAGGAGAGATGCATAAGACAAAACCAGGGTGATGAACTTTCTATAAACGACTGGACTAAGATTCCTCAAATCTGTTAAGGTCATGAAAAGCAAGGAAAGACTAAGAAACTGACACAGGCCAAGAGGAGAGGGACATGGTAATAAACGCGTAATGCTGTGTCCTGGGTGGGACCTGGTAAGTGGAAAAGGACCATCGTGGGCACTGTGGTAAAGTCTGCACAAAGTCTAGCATTGAGACTTAAATGCACTCCAAAGGCTGAGGCAGGAATATCACCGCAAGTTCAAGACCAGCCTGGGCTGCACAGTGAGTTCAAGGGAGCCTGAACTATATAGTGAACTATATAGTGAGACCCTGTCTCAAAAAACAAAACCAGGCTGGGGATAAGTGCCTGCCTGGCAAGTGGAAGGTCCTGAGTTCAATTTCCAGTACCCCCCCCAAAAAAAACCCGAAAATAACAATTGTTTCATCTTTCCACCTGCTTTGAACTGTAACAGGCATTTTTTGTATTCAAGCCACCTAGCCACTCACTTGTTCATTCCATCCAGTGTTTCTCGTAGGAAACACAATAAATACAGATAACAGGAAATAGGGAGGGAGATTTTTTTTAAGGGTAGGAGGACCAAGAGATGGAGGAATGTGTGGTGTACATGTACCAACTCCCCACAAGGAATGCAGTCATTGTGTACTGCAAACATGGTTACATAAAAATAATACAGGCCTGGTGGTGCATGCCTGTAATCCCAGCACTTGTGGGGCTGAGGCAGGAAGATCACCAGAGTTTGAGGCCAGCCTGGTATAGCTCAAGTTTAAGGCCAGCCTGGGATAGCAAGACCCTGTTTCAAAAAACAAAACAAAAAATTTTAATTGAAAATATAAATAATAAGATCACACAAGAATTGTTCCATACCAAATAAACATATACTTTGTATATCTCTTCTGCATTTCAAAGGATGAATCCCCCTCCCCTTTTGTTTTGACTTTTTGAGACAGGGTCTCACTATGCAGTTTAGGCTGAACTTGAGCTCATTTTGTAGCCCAGGCTGGTCTCAAACTCATAGTGATCCTCCTGCCTTAGCCTCCCAAGTGGTGGGATTATAGGTGTGCGCCACCACGCCCGGCTTTGTTCTTTTTTAAAAAATGTCAGTCCACTCCAAAGGGGAAAAGGGTAAAGTACTACCTCCCACAGGAGAGAAATGTACACATCTCACTTGGACTTATTAGTCTTGAGCACACTACTCCAGGAAAGGTAGTGTGGCCTCTTCAGGGTTGTATCAGTGGGGACTCTCCATTAGCTCCCACCCAGCCGGGCCCCAGCCCTTTTCAGTCCACGACTTAAAACAAAGGCCAAGAGTTTACCAGTGTTCAAGCCGCACCCTTTCCAGTGTGCCGCTGCCGCTGGAGTCCCAGAGAGAAGAGAGAGAAAAGCTTTCTTTACAGTTACATCGTCCCCCACAAAACCTCTGCAGAAACAGGTTTTGCTGTCTGAGACTCTCCCACAAGGGTGCGGGCACACAGATCAAGCTGGATTTCCAAAACTCCCTCTCTGGTTTTAAGCTTGCACAAACAGGCAACGACCAAAGCTGGTTGGCCTTCGTTCATTCTAGCATGGCAATGACGCTGTCATTCCTGCCTCTGAGCCCTCCCTGAGCCACCAGCTTCATGTCCTGTTCTAAGCCTAGCTCTAATTCCGGCTTCCATGCAAACCTTCTTCATGTGCTTGTTGGCTTGCTTTGTTTTCTCTGCCTAAATCAACTATAGTCAGCTTCTGTTGCTGGCAAACAGGAACTCCAGGCTGTGACAGGCAGAAGGAAAGGCTGTCCCGAGTGGTGCACAGATTACACAGCCCAATGTGGACTTCACTGGCTGATCAAAGCCGATCGATCCGTGGTGTGTGGCTCTTTCCATCGCCTGTGCACCTGAGTGCTTGGTTGGGGTTGTCTCTAGGAATTTACAACTTCATTACGGACAGGACTATGTGGATGAAAATATTAGACGTGGAGAGTTTACTCTGTGTCAGGCACTGCCCCACCATCTCTCGATGACTCGTTTAATCTAGCTGCTCTGTGAAGTGGATGCTGTTGTCATTTTAATTCCGTAGACCTAACCAGGGCACAGCGAGGGTAAGCAGCTTCACTGAAGTAACATGGCCACGCTGGCACCTGCTCACTCACTGACAGACTGGCTCCAAAGCCCGCGAGCCCGCTGTGCCACCTCGGGATGAATGGAGAACACAGCTCTGGAACTCCCTCTCGGAGGGAGTTGGTTCAGGGGCCAGGTAGGATTTAGGGAGCAGAGAAAGCAGAAGGGCTGCAGTCCCCGTGGATCGGGAGCGGGGGCGGGGGCTGACAGTGGGGCTCAGCCAACATGGAACACGTTGGAGAGCTGCTCTTTGG